GGAGTAGCACACCAGATCCGTGCCTCTCCTCCCCCCTTGAAATTTATTACCCATGGCATAAAAAGCAGAAAATGATGATTTCAACGAGATGCACTCCCTCAGAACTAGACGCCCCCCCCCCCCCCCATCATTGAAAAAGTTCTGGGTTCACGCCGTGAGGCTCTGAACAATTACGCAAACTAGCAACTTAACTTTCGTACTTAAAAATGGGGGCGATGCACTGCTTTGATGTTCTCGGTAATGTCTTTTATGTGTGCTTGCTCAGGTTTCAGAGCTTTCGAAATCATCACGTTCAAACAGTGTTCTACAAAACGCTATTGCAAGGAACGACGTTCCAGGAACTAGTTCCTTTTGGCAGGAATGAAGGAATGTCAGCGTTTCATTCAGCATTGGTGGAATTGTTACTGTAACTCGTTACGCTCAAAATGGAATGGAAAAGAGAGCGGTGTTTATTATGTACAAGTTCCACGGCATCCAGCAGGCTCACGCGCCAAGCACGTCATGAAAAACAGAACGAAAGGGCGACCGTGCTAGCGCGAAAACGTACCGCTGGCCTGTCATTAGTATGTAGCTGCGGACTGCTATAGCTTTCGCATTCACAGATATGCATGTAACAAACAGTGCATGACTGTAGTCTTCAAAAATGATATGAAATCGTCACAGCCACTTGTCAGGTATAGGTTATTCATCAAGCCGAAGAGCAGCACGGTAGCTTTTACAGCGAAAGCTGTTATAAGATCAAGACAAAGGTCGCGTCCACTGGTATCCGCAACAACTATCACGCGCATTATGAAAAAAAAACAAAAGCCAGAGTTTATAAAATCACTAAGAACACAATGGGATTCAAACCCGGGACCTCTGCGTGCCAGCCCAGTGTTCTACCACCGAGTCATGCTTTTTTTCTTTTTTCTTTCATGGTATTTGTTATAATGCGTATTTAAAATATTAACATTTGCTTTGGCATAGTCATACATTCGTTCGGCCACAATATTCGCATAATTGACTGATATGTGGAGTTTAACATCCCAAAACTACCATATGATTATGAGAGACGCCGTAGTGAAGGGCTCCGGAAATTTCGACCACCTCGGATTCTTTAACGTAAACCCAAATCTGAGCACACGGGCCTACAACATTTCCGCCTCCATCGGGAATGCAGCCGCCGCAGCCGGGATCCGAACCCGTGACCTGCGGGTCAGCAGCGCAGTATCTTAGCCATAAACCACCGCAGCGGAGCCAATATTAGCTTAAGGACTGCACAGGTATTCAAAAGCTTATAATCATGCATAATTAGCAAGTGTATAAAAAAGTAAACGTTTTTTTTTCAAAAAGGTTTGTAAGTATGAACACCTTCTCAAGATGGGGTGCCAGTCAAGTTCTTCGTAAACATCATTTGAAGGGAGAGCCATACGCATCAAAAGCACACTTGAAGCAGTCATTAGTTCTGCATTAGGTCTTCCTTGTGCGTTTTCTACAGACTGTGCACTCCCATAAGAAATAAGACATGAAAAAGCACTTCATGATGACAGTTTAAGAAAAGGTAACACAAAATATGTCCATTCAGTTAAAATCTTTTTAACCGTTTGTAGAAAGATCATTCTAAACAGAAGGTCATCTTTGCAGCTGAAAAATCGTAGGGATTAAAGTTAACTGAACAAACAAAAAATGTATGTTTTTGCAGCCGACGTTTAACCGGCATCTTATCTGTATAGAGTTTATGAAAGGAGTTTTTTTTTCATTAGGAGAAATAGAAATTTTCCGGACTCGTTTTAAGAAATCATGTTCTGGAAAGATGGAATACGATGCGGGGTATTATGAAGGTGGAAAAAGCTTGGTTAGCACACTTTTATAGAATTTCCTGCGTGATACTGAGTGAATATCTTCTATAGAATGTCGGAATTAGAGAAACTGTAGTGTGATGAAAACTGCGTCCGTAAATCCCCACAAGCAGGAGCATACAGAGAAATATGACGAAACAATCAAGTCAAACAAGGCATCATTTGCAAGAATGATCAAATTATGGGATGGAAAGTGTAGCAAAAAAAGCAGAACCTGGACAATAAAAAGGCTAATTGCAGACCTTTTTCTTTTACTGGCCTGATAGGTCTTCCCGTTTTATTAGTTCAAACGTTCAAGAACACACGTGTGTTGCGAAAGCCTGTTGAAAATTTTGTATGTAAGATTCAGTGTCATGAGTAAGTTCCAATACATTGCAAAGCCTTGTAGCTAAAAATGTGTTACAAGCATCACCTCCCTCAAAGATAGAAAGGCGATGTGGAACGAAAGTCTGGGCCTGTCTTTCAAGCTTAAGAACGCGTTCTTTCCAGTAGCACGCTCTGAGTCTGTGCGCATCTGAAGGCAGTTAACACATAAGAATAAATACGCCCCACACCCCATTACTGCAGCGCGCCTGTCAATAGCTTGTGCAACCGAGCAATGATTGGTGAGTTTTTTTTTTTCAAACTATAGCACTTTTTTTGCTCAGAAGGTAAATATAAGTATAATATTAAGTAAAAGTTTGTCTAGAAACATGCTACGTTTGGCTTAGCAGTGAAGTCAGAATTTGTGAAAAAAAAGTTGCTCAGGAAATTTTTTCAACAAAAACTATAAAAATGAACACACGCCTGTACGGCCTAGTCGTGTGGTATGCCTGAAATACGTAAAAGGTCTGGACGTCACGTAAGGAAGCGATTGAATTTAGTAAGATATTCGTGTAAATTATTCCTGGGCCACACGATGACCTCTGTGGGCGAAGCTTAAGTTTACTGTTAGGCTGTAACCGACTATAGTGGTGCACCAAGTTACGTTAGTGGAATGTGAGTCCGAATGATTCCTGCGAAGTTGTCAGGCATACTACCCTGTGATCCAAAACATAATTCTGAATTCTCTGAGACGTTTGAATGAGCACATGATATAATACGAAATTTACTTATTTTAGATAACACATTCTCAACACTTCGTTTGTTCGAACAAAAGAAAGCTACATCGCCTGCTTAAGTCAATACTTTAAAGGAGCCCTGAGACAATTTGGAGTAACCGTGGAAATAATTTACTGGGAAAGCGTTTGGCCTCACAAAAAACGCCGCAAATATTTTAAGAATCCGTTCAGTATGAGCGGAGTTACAAAGATTTGTCACACGCTGCAATCGCATTCTTTCTTCTCACGTCCTGACGAAAGCACTGGAAGCTAAACAGGGAGGAATGGGAGAAGAAAACAAAAAACGTCACGCGCCATCATGACCTTGAGCACTTTCTTTTTTTTTCTTGTAATAGGTGGCTTTTTTAATGCCATCACGTGCGCACGCGCGGACAAGTGGCGGCCTCCCGCGGCGATCTCTGTAACGAGTCAGCGCGCCATGTTCAAATCAGACAATGGCTGATAGATGTGCTTACTACGAGTGGTTTTTTGGCCTTATCGCGTTATTTGTCGAGAGAATAGAAAGGAATTTTAGCTGAATTCGATAATTTATTATGAATTCCTGACTGCATGCTGCGCAATATAAATTGGCTTTGGTGTTGTCGGGAGCCTCTACTACCGATCGGCAGGATTTTCTGACCATTCTCAAAAAGTGTTGCAGGGCCCCTTTTCTCATTGCTTAATAAATTAAAGCAGTGAATATTGTTCGTGTGCTTGAAACTTCTTGCCAAACAGGCGCAGGCAGGTTTGATGTCGGCGAAAAGTTGCATAATTGTTTTGTGAAAAATAGTGTTTTATAACGGCACAACCAGGCCTCACACAATGCGAATTACGTATGCTCCAAATCGAATGCTCTAACCCACTACTAAAACTTGCGGCATGATTCTTCATTGTCAGCGTCTTCTTTAGGCGCAGCATCAAATATTTGCACGAAATTCCCTACAAGGGTGTAGCCGGTACCACGCTTCTGCGAAGAATGCCGAATGCTGGCATAGGGAACGCCTGCGTACAGCACAAAAATTATGATTTATGGGGCAGTGGGTAGCCTCAAAGTGTGGTTGCAAGTCCCACTGTCACACACAACAGTGTCTTTAAAAAACGGACATTTTTCTTTCACTGTTCTAGCTCGTAGGAGTGATGCCACCCTCTGAGTGTGGCAAAGTGAAGTAATGCATCACGAGACTTTGACTGTGGCATGCGTCGTTGGCTCCTGCAACGCATCGTTATCACATGCGCCTCTCATTTGTTTCCAATACGAGTGCACTTTTGTCAACGCCTTACATATCGCGAGGTGGCGACATTAGTCCAAGCGACGGCTTCACTCACAGCATCATTTCTGTACCCAAAATAGATATGTGACGTGCGTCTGGCCCAGCTGGTGGAAATGGCCACACTGCACTGCGACTGCCAATTCACTCCCGATAAGGTTTTCGCGTAACCTTGCGTATGCGTTAAAAAAAAACCACACATCCAATAGCACAAATAGAGTATGGCCAGAAAAAGAGACTAAAAATAATGGTGGAAATTAAGTGCGTCCAGCTCCATGCTTTTTTTCTTGGCAACTATTTTGTGGTGACCAAAAATTTATGGTAACCTGGCGCACACAGTCTGTATTACCGCCTTTGCGTTCACACTATATTACTTCTTATCTGCTGCAAAAATTGACTTATCTGAAGATTCCACGAAGACATGGCGTGCAAACATGAACTCACGAGAAGTCCCATCACCACAAACACGTAACATAGAAATACTGACTGTGTGCCCTGCGCTGGAGAGGAAGGCAGATAAACGAAGAATCAAAGAGGGTCGTTCGTTTATTGTGTTCATATCAGGCATGCGTTTATTGCATCAATATTAAACTTTAGGAAGAGACTGTTTCGTATTAATCGGGAATAATACTGCAAAGTTACGCAAAGTTATGCAATAAATAGAAAGCGTCTTGCTTCGTCGGGTATTTTGTCGCGTTTCACCAAAATGCATTACAAAATCGCTTAGCTTACAGCGTTTCATACGAATTAAGAAAACGCAGTTTTTATTGCGTCTCATATGAAGCGCGTTGCGGTAACCGAAATTGTGCTACGTTTCACGCGGGGGACGTGGAAGCCGCAGCTGACACTGGGGCTCCAGTGGAAGGTGACTGCCGCGGGTGTGCTGTAGGAGGGGCAGCATTCGCAGTAGCGGCCATTGTGGCCGCCTCTTGCGCTTTGGCGAAGTTCAAGAATATGTCCTCCAGTGTGTTCTCCGCCACCAGAGCGTGCTCCAGTTGGAAGTTCTTCTGGAGGTCCACCACCTTGGTGAATATCTCGCTCCAGGGCACTCTCACTGCGAGGTGGTAGCACAGAAGGTTCTGCAAGAAAACGAATAATCGTGCATGCGCTTTAACAGTGACTTGTATGCTAAACACGTGATGCCTGAGGTATACTAGGTGCATAAAAGGCAATTGGCAAGCTTTCCTATCAGCCAATCGCCAACACATAGATGTTTCTCTGAATAAATCAAAACGAAATACGATGAATGAATAATGAAGCTGCGGTTAATGCAGCGTAAAAGTAAACCGTGTGTTTGTCTTCACGTTGCTTTAAGAGCACCTTTATATTCTACGTCATGGTATTGCTTTATGTCTTGCGCTCAGTGTAGCTCCACTACCACAAAATCTGAGAAAGTGCACAGCGCGGGCAACGTACTGATTGTTGAGAAATCGCGTGCTTGCGGAAGTGGTGGCGTTCTGTTTCCAGTGGCGCGGCCACCAGATGCAAGCTCCTGAAGTGTTTTTCGGGATTGCCAGTCAAGTTTTTGCGAAAATTATTGGTTATTCAGGATTTTTGTATTCATTATGGGCAGTGGTATAGCCTCGTTGAAAGCGTTTATTAACTCGGCATCGATTTTTTTCAAACATGTACGGCGCCATAAAAAATGCCACATAGGGTAAACAAATCCCTAAGTATTATAAATAAGGATTCTATTGTTTATATTGTGCAATCACGAAATTAAACATACGTGCCAACTTAGTCTTCATGAAACATTTGTTTCATTCGCTATTCGTATTGTGTAAGAAAGTGCAGGGTGCTTACCCTGCACTTTCTTTTGCCAAAACTTTGAGAATTATTGTTGACATATAAAACTACTGCAGCATGCCAACAACTGACTGAGATGCCTTTTTACGACGTATTGCTCTTTAAAAAGACCACTGCACCAAGCAATACTGTACTCAAATTACCAATATTCTCATTGCTATTATAACATAAGGTCCTGATTCAAATTCAAGCTGAGTGTGTGCGTGCATATGTTTGCATGTTGTATGTTAGGTGAGAAAAAGACAACTTCTAGCTGCCTAATCGTTACCTTAGAACCTGCACACGTGCCTAGCCACTAAGGCTGTTTTATTTTGTCTCTAAGGACAAGTAATGGTAAGTACCTGGTGGCATTGCTTCAGCTCTATGCCTCTGAAGAGCTGCTGTACTGCCGCGTTCAGCATGGGCGCGTCGGCTGCGGCAGTGTGCTTGAGCAGGAACTCTAGTCGGAAGCCCTTGCCGAATTTCTCCCGCAGATGCTGGAGCGTACCCAGGCACATCATGTGACCCTCGACCATGATTGTAATGCGGTCGCAGGAAAATTCGCATTCGTCCATGCTGCAGGCAGTCAGTCATACAGAGCACATCATTGCAATATTTATAAATTTATACACATATTTTTTGCAGCAATAACCAGTTACCATATTTATTCCCTTGAATAGCAGTAGCCGAATGTGGATACCACGAAAGCATATTTAGCGAAAACGCTTATTGGTCTTCTGTAATTGTCTTGAGCACTAGGAAATTTATACCATTCATTCGGTGAAGGCGTATTATTAGCTCAACTTACAACCACGTTCCCCTTCTTGCTACGTTTGGCATTCGGCCTAATCACAACTGTTACTCGAGTGTTCTCACAATATGTTGCGGCCTCTTGTGTGCTAACCGGGTGAGCCAACCCACCATGAATATTTGATGGATGTGGCAAAGCACTGTTTCGTGTGTGCATGGACTATAACGAGAGAAATCTATACAAATACACTTCTCTGAGCTTGAGCACTAATGCAGTAAATCAGGATACATGCACAGAAAGCATGATTGGTTATGAATTCTAATAGCTGTACTAGCTACGCTATCAGCTATCTTAGTAAGATGCGTTTATAAACCGTAGACAGGGAAGCCGTAAACACCAAGGCTCACATACGTGTAGCCTGGTCTAACTCGTTGATGATAATCTAGTAATGGTGCATACTGCCCGACATCAAAACGAGAACATCTTTTGAGCGTGGTCAATTGTTGGGATAATTGTTTCGACATCGTGCTTCGGGGAGTGTGAATTCGGTTAAGGAAACAACACACCACAGAAAGGACGTCCGTAGGATACATGTATATATAGACAGTATCTGTTTTTTTTTTCCTTAACCAAATCTGCGCTATCTTAGCAAAGTGCTTCAGTGATTGTTTCTTGGAGCATCGGGCGTGCAAGCGTCGATTGCACCAATTATCTCTCTTAAGCTGTTCTTGGCGTGATTGTCTCATGAAATGTTTTGGTTGCTGGCGAACCTGTCAGTAATGCATTCAAGTGGATACGGTAGCACTCACTTGTGGGACGTGAGCACGAAAGTGGACTTCGAGCGCTTCTTGATCTCGGCGATGGCTCGGAAGATCTTGTTTCGAGACACCACGTCCACACCAGCGTACGGCTCGTCCAGGAAAATGAACGGCTGAAGGCCCAGCAGTGCAGCGCCGATGGACAACTTCCTCCGGTTGCCGCCACTGCAAAGGAAGGGCCATAAAATATTCACTTACCAATTCGAGCAGTTGTCCGTGGCAAACCGAGTAGGTCCCTTTGTCAGGCTTTGTCGCGATTCTAAAAGGAAATGATAGTGCCACTTCGCGCGTTTTTATGACATATGTAAATGTAAGCGCTGATGCAGACTGACCTATAAATGCCCGAAGCAAGTCACTTTTTTTTTAAATCAATATTTAACCAATGCTTTATCGTATGTTCACTCCACGTTCACGCAAAATCTACGCAACTCCAACCGTGAAGTTAAAAATGATCCCACTGCCCTATCACTCAACAGGTTTTTCTTAAAATTGTTTTTACGCATCTCTGTATATTGTCGCGCGTGAACAAGAGGGACTTCAGGTAAAGAATACCGCGTAGTCACAGAGGCGCAGGTCAGGGACACCACAACCAAAAACAAAAGCCTCGGCGAGAGCGCGCTAGCCCAACAACTTCTTCCTCGTTTTTTTCTCCTCGATGCGGGCTCGTGCTCGCCGCAGTTCATGGCCAGGTGGCATTATTCCCCCACTGAAAAAAAAGCATCGCCCCGATGCTCGCGCGAATGGTAGTGGATAAGCGGAAGTAAAGCAGACATGCACACTGTGGGCACACTTAAGAAAAAAAAACAACAACAAAAGAACAAGGCTGAGGCACGGTCCCACTAACGTACGAAGTACGGCTTGAGCCGTACAACGTGAACAATCTCTGGGTAGTGCTTTCGACGCTGGGGTGACATGGTTCCATATGGAACCACCTCATAATTCACGTCACTGATGCGACGCACTACTTTGTAGGGTCCAAAGTAGCGACTCAGGAGCTTTTCGGACAACCCTTGGCGGCGAACCGGAGTCCATACCCAAACTAGATCTCCTGGGTGGTATTCGACCTGTCGATGGCGAAGATTGTAGCGGCGTGCATCTGCAGTTTGTTGTTGCGTAATATGCAGGCGTGCCAACTGTCGAGCTTCTTCGGCAAACTGAGCAAGCTGCTCAGCGTCAGGTGTGAGCGACCCGTCGTAATCGTGTGGCAACATAGCGTCCAACATGGTCTGGACCTCACGCCCATAGACGAGACGGAACGGTGTGAATCGTGTCGTTTCTTGGATGGCAGTGTTGTAGGCGAATGTTACGTATGGAAGGACCTGATCCCACGTCTTGTGTTGAACGTCTACATACATGGACAACATATCGGCGATGGTCTTGTTAAGTCGTTCCGTCAGGCCGTTAGTCTGCGGATGATACGCCGTCGTCTTGCGATGGCTCGTGAAGCTTAGCTTGAATACATCGTCAATGAGCTGAGCCGTGAACGCTGTTCCGCGATCAGTGATGACGCAAGACGGGGCGCCATGGCGAAGAACGATCTGTTCGACGAAAAACTGGGCAACATCGGAAGCTGTAGCTCGTTGCAGGGCTCTTGTCTCGGCGTATCTCGTTAGATAATCTGTCGCTACAACTATCCATTTGTTACCGGCAGATGACAGAGGAAACGGCCCCAGTAAATCCATGCCTATTTGATCGAACGGCGACCTTGGTGGTGTGATTGGTTGCAGCAGGCCTGCAGGCTTCAGTGGCGGAGATTTGCGGCGTTGACATTCACGGCAGCTTTTCACATATCTCTTGACGTACATAGCAAGTCTCGGCCAGTAGTACGCCTGTTGAACTCTGGCGAGAGTTCGTGAAGAACCTAGATGCCCGGATGTGGGTTCGTCGTGGCAGGCCAGAAGAATGTCGTCTCGCATGTCAGATGGGACCACTAGCAAGTAGGCTTTTCCATTGCCGTTCGAGTTTGATTTATACAAGACACCGTTCCGCATGCAGAACGAAGAGAGATTGCGAGAGATGTGCCGAGGTACGGGTGTGTTGCGTCCTTCTAGTTGGTCAATGATTGCGCGAATCTCGACGTCATCGTGTTGTCGTGCGATCAAGTCTGTTGCAGTGAGGACTCCGAGAAAGCCGCAGTCATCGTCATTGTCGGGATCACAAACTCCGGTAGGTGCACGTGACAAGGAATCAGCATCTTCGTGCTTGCGGCCTGATTTATAGACAATGGTAAGGTCAAACTCTTGCAAACGAAGGCTCCATCGTGCCAGACGCCCAGACGGGTCTCGTAAATTGGCTAACCAGCACAATGAGTGATGATCAGTAACTACTTTAAAGTGACGACCGTAGAGGTAAGGCCTGAATTTCATAGTGGCCCACACTACTGCTAGGCACTCTTTCTCCGAGGTGGAATAGTTCATCTCGGCGCGAGACAGGGCACGGCTGGCGTAAGCTATCACGCGCTCGGTGCCTTCTTGATGTTGGACAAGCACGGCGCCGAGACCTACATTGCTCGCGTCGGTATGAACTTCCGTGGCAGCATCCTCGTCGAAGTGAGCAAGAACTGGTGGTGCCTGCATACGCTCACGTAGATCGATAAAAGCCGCGTTCTGTTCTTCATTCCAAACGAATGGTACGTCGTCACGTGTGAGACGAGTCAGAGGCTCGGCAATTCTAGAAAAATTGGCGATGAAGCGACGATAGTAGGCGCACAGACCGAGGAAGCGGCGTACTGCTTTCTTGTCACGGGGAACGGGAAAGGAGGCTACGGCGGTTGTCTTGTCGGGTCAGGTCGAACACCGTCTGCGCTCACAACATGCCCCAGAAATTTAAGTTCTTTATAGCCAAAGTGGCATTTTTCTGGCTTCAGCGTGAGGTTCGCAGAGTGGAGTGCTTCCAGAACAGCCTGCAGACGTTTCAAGTGTTCCTCGAAAGTGACCGAAAATACGACGACATCATCGAGATAAACTAAGCAGGTGTTCCACTTCAGACCGGTAAGAACAGTGTCCATCATTCTTTGGAATGTCGCTGGTGCAGAACACAGGCCGAAGGGAAGCACCTTGAATTCATACAGGCCGTCCGGTGTAACAAAAGCAGTTTTTTCTCGGTCTCTTTCATCAACCTCAATCTGCCAGTATCCGCTTTTCAAGTCTATGGATGAAAATACCTTGCTCGCCGTAGTCTGTCTAGTGAATCATCGATGCGTGGCAGAGGATACACGTCTTTTTTTGTCACGTCGTTCAGCTTTCTGTAGTCCACGCAGAAACGCAACGTTCCGTCCTTTTTCTTTACAAGAACGACTGGCGATGACCATGGACTATTGGACGGCTGTATAACATCATCCTGAAGCATCTCTTCGACTTGAGCATTGATCGCGTCACGTTCTTTGGCAGAAACTCGGTAGGGTTGTTGCTTTATGGGCGAGACATCGGTGTGTATAATAATCCGGTGTTTCATAAGGGGCGTTTGACGCACCTTTGAGGATGAAGCGAAACACTCTTGAAATTCAAGCAACAGCTCCTGCAGCGCTGTGCGTTCTTTCTGCGTGAGGCTCGAATTGATGTCCACCTTTCAAGAGCCTTAGAAACGCCGGTCGATGTCGATTGTAGCCTACTATTATTGATGCGGCAGAAAAACATTCAGCAACGTCTTCGATGGGGTAGGCGAAAGCGATAGCGGTGCGTCGAAACAGGTGCCGCTGCTCATTACTAAAATTTGTCACAAGCAGCGTGGCACGTCTGTCGTGAAGCGTAATGAGGCTGCGGGCTGCGCAGACACCTATGCTAACAAAAGTGTCAAGTTGCCTTCGGCGACTGCCTCACCGTCACGTATCTCGTCACACACGACTTCAACCAGGATGCTTGAACGTGGAGGCAACGTGATTATGTCGGCCGAAACACGAAGCGAACTGAGATGGCTGTCATCAAGCTTTTCTGCTTTGTCTGTAGAGAACGTCACTGTGCGCTGTCGGAGGTCAATGATAGCGCCGTATTCACGTAAAAAGTCGACGCCTAGGATGAGGTCTCGGGAGCATTCAGGAAGTATAAGGCAGCTGCAGAGAAATGTGCGTTTGCGAATGCCGACTCTAACAGATACCGAGAGGGGTGACGACGTGCCCGCCGGCTGTACGGATTCGTGTCCCGTACCACGGCGTACCCACTTTCTTGAGATGCGTCGCCAGTTTTCTGCTCATGATGGAGTAGTCGGCCCCTGTGTCTAATAAAGCTGTAATATCGTGGCGGCCGTCGAGCACTACAGGTATATCTAGGGAAAGTCGGCTTTCTGATTCGGGAGCTGTCGTCGTTGAACCACTGCTGGTACGTACTCGCATGGATTGGGGCCCTTGTTCGTGTCGTTTATCAGCGGCCCCGCCCCCGAAGGTCGCTGTCGTTAGTTTTCCCGCCTAGGGCTGAGCGGCCGTGCTGGCGCCGCCCCTGGGTAGTTCGGGACACTTGACGAAGACCTTCTTGGAGATGGTGATCGTGACTGGCGCCGCGGGAGCAGTGGCATGCGCTGCTCGGACAGGTACTCCTCAATCGCTCTGGGTCTTTCGCCAAATCTTGGCCTGGGTGAGTCGACGGCGAAACCCTGAAGTCCGAGGCGACGGTACTGGCATTCGCGGTACACGTGTCCGGCTTCGCCACAGTGGTAGCACAGCGGCCGCCTGTCCGGTGTGCGCCATACGTCCGATTTCCGCGGGAGGAGCTGCCGATTCTCGAAATGCTGGACTGGTTGAACTGCTGGGAGTGGATCGCGATGTGCAGGGTGTACGAAACGGCGTGGAGGAGCGTAACGACTCGCAGCTTCGGCGTACGATGCAGGAGCGACGTAACAGCTCACAGCCTCGGCATAAGATGCGCGGTGAGGCTCGATCGGTACAGGCGGGGAAGCATCGTTGGACAGCGGGACTTGCAAAGCCTGCTGTACTTCACTCCTGATGAGGCTGGAGATGGATCCCGCAGCAGGTGGAGGCGGCCCGTGAATCTTCTGCAGCTCGTCGCGTACCACCGATCTGATGAGGTCGCAGAGAGCTTCGAGATTGACGTTACTCCCCGCAACTCCAATCTGGTCCACCGGCGAGGCAACATTCACGTGGCGGTCGTACACAGCTGATCGCTGCTGCAGCATGTTTTCCATTGTCGTTGCTTCAGTTAAAAACTCTGCCACAGTATTCGGGGGACTTCGCACGAGACCAGCGAAGAGTTGCTCCTTAACTCCTCGCATTAGGTGGCGCAACTTCTTGTCTTCTCCCATACCTGGGTCAGCGCGACGGAAAAGGCTCGTCATGTCCTCCACGTACGCCATCACGCTCTCGTTCGGCATTTGGATGCGTGATTGGATGGCCCGTTCCGCTCGTTCACGGCGATGGGGGTCAGCGTAACTTGCCAGCAGCTGACGACAAAACATCGTCCACGACGAGAAGGGTTCGCGGTTCTCGTACCAAGTACGAGCTCCGTCCTCAAGGCTGAAATATACATTCCGCAGCTTGTTGGCGTCGGTCCACTCGTTGAAAGCCGCAACGCGTTCAAAGTGAGCCAACCAGTCCACAACATCCTCCAACATGGAGCCACGGAACACCTTCGGCACTCGTGGCTTCTGCAGCGTGTAATTAGCCATCGGAATATTTTCCGTACCGCTCTGGGGTGGTGCAGTTGATGCCATCTCCGGTAGAGGTTCACGCTCGGGGGACAATCCTCGGATTCTCCGGCTGGCCCGGTGGACAGGTGTTGCGACTGCGGGTATAGGGCTCCCAGGAGGCGTTTGGATCATTGACTGGGAATACCCAGCGACTCCACCAGTTGTCGCGCGTGAACAAGAGGGACTTCAGGTAAAGAATACCGCGTAGTCACAGAGGCGCAGGTCAGGGACACCACAACCAAAAACAAAAGCCTCGGCGAGAGCGCGCTAGCCCAACAACTTCTTCCTCGTTTTTTTCTCCTCGATGCGGGCTCGTGCTCGCCGCAGTTCATGGCCAGGTGGCAATATCCATAGGCGCGCGCCGAGTTCGCCGAAGAAGCGGGAGCTAATGCTCTTCGCAGCACTTTCCCCCTCCCCCACTCCTCCCCTTCTGTTATGCGAATTCTAAGGGGCTGTCTTTGCGTCCCTGCCCCTAAATCGCAACGCCCCCAGCTTGATATGTCAATGTGAGGGGCTGACTTAGTACCCCCTTCCCCCCTTCTTAGGAGACCTGGGAGGCAGCCTGCCCCCCTGGCTACCTCTATTCTCACGTCTATGATTACATCTGTATCGTACGCCTCAGCTCTACTGTAGTTAAGGTGCTTGTCTGCTTATTCAAAGATGTGGGTTAGATCCGAGCTCAGGCGGTCACATGTCGGTGGTCGCGGGAAGGTAGAAGGCAGAATGCGTTGCGCCGTGTGAGTTCGTTAAAGCCCACTAGATAGTTGAAATTTCTGTAGCCCTCCACTACTGCGCGCCTGATGATAATACTGTCGTTTTGAAAAGTAACACGCCAATTGGTGTTATAAAACTCTATCTATTTGTATTTTTTAAAAACATTTTATTTTGGACAGAAAATATTACAACTATAAGAAACGAGGCACAGGTGCCAACACAAGTACGAAACAAGCAGAAGACAAGTTTGCCCACATTGTTTTCCCCAAGAACGCCTAGCAGACGCAGCAAGAACCGCTGACAGAAAAGTCATGATGCGCGCATTCAGGGGAGCATGCAGCGTGAATGCCGTCAGGATATATTGAAATACACGATTCCACTCCGGGCGACCTTGTTGGTATAATTAGTGTCAGCTATATTACCAAGACATCTGTTCTTGGTTTAGCAGCAACAGTAACAACAAAATGAACTCCATATCTCAAAAGATGAGCAGAATATACAATTCATATTTGTTATATTGAGTCCCGAAATCTATAAAGCACTGTATGAGCAAAGAGTCATAGTAAAATTGATGATGCGCTGAAGTTCGAATGGTACTAGGAAGCTAGGTCAAAAGTGTCGATATTACAGATACTGAGGGGGGTATACAGGATATTCAAACTTTTCCCGAGACTTGTAAAGTATATAGCTCACATGAACGAACCTGTATACTCCGCACTGTTTCGAGGCGTGTTCCGTGAGGTCCACGACAGCTATAACACTGTCCACCATGGGCTTCAAGTCACTGTCGACGATGCCTCGCAGCCGACCGACGAGGTAGAGGTACTCGTACGCGTTCAGTCTGTCCAACAGTCCGCCCAGTTGGAAGCAGTAACTGACCTGCGACTGCCACTGTGGTGCGCGAAAGTACAAGAAGTAGATATGTATATATCAAGCTCGTGTTTGACCATCTGTATCGACAAACCTTGCTTTGTTTTGATAGTTGAAAAGAAGAACTCGGAACGCTTAGTATTTTCCGAAAATGTGACAGCCAAAAACCACTTGCTATGCAGTATTTCAACTTTAAACAGTTTTACTAACCAAATTCTTGATTTGATTCAATTATTTGTGGGGTTTAACGTCCCAAAACCACTGTATAATTATGAGAGACACCAAATTCTTGAAGTCAGAAGAGAAAAGCGGCGATGGTACTCACTGCTTTTAGATTAAATATTATTGTAGTATACAAGTTTGAAATACCAAACTTGAGAAGGTAATTGACTGCCCTCCACTACGGCGTCTCTCATACTCATACGGTGGTTTTCAGACATTAAAACCCACATATCAATCAATCAAGGTAATTGACTGACGTTCAGCCCGTATTGCATCAAAACAGTTGAGCACCGGCTTTGCAAGTACGTCACCTGCTTCACCTGCATCCTAAGTCAAAGCAGGTAACGCACAAGAACCAGGTCTCGGCGTCATGTGAGATGTTCACATGGTCTATTATATATAGGCATAGAATATCGCAACATAAAACAATGATCGGGGCGTAGCTTGCGCTAGCGGCGCAATTTTAGAGACGCAGTGGAGCTAATTGGTGCCTAGCTAGCACTGGCATCTCAAGGTTACATCCAAATTTTCAGCCGTCGGCACTTGTGGCTGACCCGCTGGTCACAGGATTGAATCTTGGCAGTGGCAGCTGCGTCTTCAATGTACAGGCCAAAATACCCGTGTGCTTTGATTTAGGTGCACTTCAAAGAACCCCAGGTGGTCAAAACTTGCGAAGCCTTTGACTACGGCATCTCTCATTACCATATTGTGGTTTTGGGACATGAAACCACGACAATTATTTTTGATTTCAATCTTTGGCCTGTCCACAGTTATTTAGTCTTAGTGAAGTGAATAAACGTGGCCCTCCGTTAGTAAATCTCGCCTAAAGGGATAGAAAAAAGAAATATTGACAATGTTTATATAAATAGACTGTAGAATATAGTACAAATTTCACTATAATAAGTTTAGTATTTGTGGTAAAAATAAAGGCTGAAGTATAATTTTGAAATTTCGTAACGCAATCTTTCTGCTTGACAACCAAAATGTGAAAATTTGTTTTGGTATTTCCACAACATTACCTCAATATATTTTTCTGCAACTTCGTCTGCTATGTCTATGACACCAATAGATGGCGGTGTACTTCATTTTTATTGACTAGCGGCCACGTAGGACTCAGTAGACCTCTTTAAAATCTTCAATTTGACGTCACGATGTTTTGTGCGGCAATCTCAAAGTGGCGCCTCACCCCACATTTTCTTTTCGCGCGTTGTCTCGCTTACCAAGTGTCTCCTCGCGGTAATAGTATTTTTTTCAGGATTGTGAATTCGTACTTTACCGATACGGAAACATCTCTCCTCTCTTTAGTGAGCCTTTGACTTCCGTGACTTGGCTCTGCCGCGATGCCACGCTGAGAAAGGCCAACGTGAACTCGTCTTTCAGGACCCCTTCAAAAGTGGCCCGGCAAGCAAGCTAATCTTCTTGTTATGATTAGTGGAAGGGGACGTGTGCTTTTGGGGTGTCAAGACGGTTGTGTGTAGTAAAGCGCACGCGTGCCGTGGTAACTCCACGGCGCATGCGCATACTTAGCGTTTTGTTTGGTCATTAGAAAGCGGCTGTACTTGCGGCTTCCACGACAACTTCCATTTCAAATACATGAGCGAGCGAAATTTAAAATGCTTTGCATGTCCATTGAACGTGACGCGAACGAATGCTGCTCTCCGTCAGAAATAGGCACTTACTCTTCGAGCGTTTGCACTGAGCTTGGCCACCGCAGTGCTCGCGTCGCCGTACGACACGCTGATGAGCGCGGCCAACATCTGGAACGTGGTCGTTTTGCCCGCGCCATTGACTCCGAGGAGGCCGAAACACTCGGACGGGCGCAGGGCCATGTAGATTCCACGCACGGCGTGCAAGGCGCCGAAGTGTTTGTGCAGCCTCCACACTAACATGGAGTTGCTGACGTAGTCGCCTTTCTGAACAGCAGTCTCCACTTTCTTCGCCTCCTCTGCGACGTCTTCGTCTGCGGCGGCTTCATCGCCCGGGGATGGGTCTCCGGCACTCAAGTAGCCCGACGTCTTGAAGATCATATAAGCCAGGAAGAGCAGGCCTTCCGCAAGAAGGAACGCCAACTCGAAGCCTACTCCGTCCGTGCTGAACTGCAGCAAACCTTCATCGCAATTCGGTCCGATGCCTGAAGAGTTAAAAAATGGCGCCGAGCTAGCTTTTTTCGGAGAAGCAGCCTTGCTTCTTGCAAAATTATTGCTCAAGAGTTAGCCCTCGAGTACATACGAAACTAATATGACCATGATGTATATTTTGTAAGATGTGCTATAAATTTGAAAGATTATTAACTCCTGTAGGCAAATTCAAGCGCATTTTAAGGTGCCGAGGACTGCTTGTGTCGATATCTGCGCACGCTCTCCAGCATTTGGCTGCGTGTCGGAAGGCCACACGACCAAATCAGCTTGTACGTGGGTCGATTTCTCGCCGTAGACCCGCATTCTTAAGCTGGCGGGAAGCCAGTTTTGTACGCGTAGTAAATAAGCCATAGGCTTTTGTAAACTATACATAGGCCAGTCGGGAAGGTTCATCAATGTCCGTCCTAGTGAGCACGATACATCTTTGAAATATTCAGGAGCGGCGTATCTCGATTCATTACAGAGTGTGCGGCTGCTACCCTGTTTTCAAAAACAGTGAAGTTCGTTTTCGTAGTAGCAATTAACTCACTCGAGAAGAGATTGAAGCACTTCATATAGAAAACGAGAAAATCAGTGCGTCAGCCAGTATTCGGTGTCGCTACATGAAAATGAGCTTGTCATTCTAGATTATGTTTCCCGATAATCTTTCTGCTTTTGTTAAATAATGTTTCACGCGTTGCCATGAATATCATCTTGCCTTTCAGACACAAGCGTTGATCTCTATTTGGTGCATTTATATTCTTCTCTACTCAATAAATGATTTAGTTGTGAATAAGTGCTTGTCTTGTGTTTCTTTGTCGTTCTTCATGCGCCTAAACCACAAAGTTACCAAGCATTTAAACCAACTAGCCGAATCGTTGTTTCTATTGAAATAGCCCACATATTTTGAATTCATCGACCACTTCATTCGACCACATCAGTTACTGCTGACCTAGCAATGCTCCCTGCCCTCTTCCTGTCAGC